TATTTCAAAAAACACCGAAGCTAGAATTTTTTTTAACGATTTCTTTTCCGATCCTTCCTATGGGAGCTATAAGATATAGTTGTCCGATCCGGTCGGTTCCGACATATATACTACCTGCAATAGAAAGAAGACTTTTGGGAAAGTTTCATCCCGATAGCTCAAAAACTGAGAGACTAGTTTGCGTAGAAACAGACAGACGGACAGACGGTCAGACGGACAGACGGACATGGCTAGATCGACTCGTCTAGTGATGCTGATCAAGAATATATATACTTTATGGGGTCGGAAACGTCTCCTTCACTGCGTTGCAAACTTCTGACTGAAATCATAATACCCTCTGCAAGGGTATAAAAAGCACGTCGCCGTGAAATCGATAAGTCCAGCTAATTTTCTGGTTATTCCTACTCATATCGTTTTTACCTGAAATATTCATAAAATTTACATTAAATAATATCATTTTGCCGAATTCTCTTTCTCGGAGATTCTCTAACTTCGAAAAAGAGCGCAGTAATCAATATGGCGAGCAAAATGACATGAGTGGAAGCGAGAAAGACGTATTCGAAAAAAAAATGTATAAAAATGTATAACATCTTAGTGTTTTTTAATTTTTTTGTCCTTTTACAAAATTTAATCTCTTTTTTTTTGCTGAAGGGCCCTGTTTTTTAAGCTGACGGTTGGCAGCACTGCTGTGAGCACTTTGAACTTTGATGGCATTAAGTTGTCAATTTGCGTTTTGACTTTATAGCGCCGCCAACGGCTTTTTCCATTATCGTTCTTATACTCTATAAGCTAATCTCAAATGTGTCTAACAAAAGTCGGCTAAAAATTATTATAATTAATGTATTTCGACATAAATTAAAAATAAATATTTGGTATTAATTTGATTGTAAATTGTATTAAATCTTTAAATTTTAGTCGAACTCCGTCCCTCAACATTTTCTCGTTCTTCTTCAATATTAATTAAATTATTAACTTACGATTTTGTTTGCTTAACTATGTACATATATATGTCTGTACAATAATGTACATGTGTATTTGTCTTGTTTGTATTTTCAGCCTTAGCTTCCCACGCAAAACTTTTGACAACCTTAGGTTTTGTTTTTATGTTTCTTAATTAATGCTTGCGCTTTTTCCCAAGAGACAAAAACTTGTTCGGAAAGTGAAAACAAGAACATTAACAAAAAATAAAAGTGAAAATGATTAGCATAGTAGGGAAAAGAAATTATATGTAAGACGGTGGAAAAAATGTAAAAAGAAATTAATTTCCATTCAAAATTCCAAATGCCACTCGAGAAAAGGGGGGCTGAAAATGGAAAAAAAGAAGCAGAGGCAGAAGGCAAACATTGGAAAGACAACGAATTTTTTAATTGATTTCACTTAAAGCATCAAAACAACGCGGCCTCTCCGCAAGAAGGAGAAGAAGGAAAAGTACCTAAGAAACTGATGATTTTGTATTGTTTTTTTAAATTGGTAAACTTTTTTGTGGTTTTTGTTTTTGGGCGAAAGGCCAGAAGACCACTCACACACTTGACTGTTGAAAAATCAACAGAAAAGGGAACGAGACAGAGCAAGGCAGAAAGGGAGGAAAAAAGGCTGATCCCAATTTATACACTTAACGAAATAGCACCCAATTCACCCAACAAAATTGTTCGTAGATACACAAAAAAATAATTTATTTTCTGCAGACTACAAAAGGTTACTTAAGGCGTTGCCGGCCCCACAAAGTATGTATATAAATTCTTGAACTGGATGAGAAATGGATTAGATCATGTCCCTTTAGCCGAGTAACGGGTATCTAATAGTCGAGGCAATTTCATTTTTTTCAAAACCTTAAACATAATCATCAAAATTATTTAACTCACAAGTCTTAATACTTTCCTAGGAAAAAATATTTTTTCACTGTAAATTTAAAGTGCCAATATTAAGCTATCGAACGGTGCATAACTCTTTTTGTTTTACTAAATAAATACCAAATGGAAGGAAAATGTGTTTCGCGAAAGTGTGTGTTTAATCGATCATATTTTTTTTAATAATAATTATTTTTTTTTTATTTAAGCGATGTTTTGTAAAAGATTTGAATTTATCCTAAACAAAACAAATGTCTTTCTTTCGAAATTGGAACGGTGTACTTTGGACCAAGTGGCCCTAATTGGTCATTATGTTGGTCTAAACAGCGGCATTGGCTCAAGTGGCGCCTAATTAAAAGTACCCAGAAGTGCGATTCAATCCCCAATGATGATGATGCCTGGTAATACAAGAAAAACAGCTCTTAAATTGATTTTAAGCCTAAGGACATTCATCGCAGATTTTTCTGGTTTACCGAGATTTTTGTTATCCTAGCTCAGCCAAGTTGCTTATTTTCGATTGCTATTACTTTCTGTACTTTCTCCTGGTGGTCTGCTAACTTTGAAAAAAAAATTAAAATATACATATGTTGCTCAAAGCGACCAAAAACAACTAGTGCCAGTGGAATATTACCAGGAAGAGCCGAAGTGTCTTCGTAAATTAAACAATTGGCTGCATTCAAAAAAAAAAGAGCAACACAAATGCATTTGCTTAAGGTCATTAATCATCCTTTGCAGGCGGTCAAAAGAGTGCAGTGAGCTCTTTTGTTTATTTTTACACTCGAAAATATTACACATGATAAATATTCATAGTGTAAAACGTGTCCACACTTAGTTTTTAATGCTTATACAAATTTTTTTTTTTATTTTGTCAGAAGTTTGTAAAGCATTTATCGGGTGAACATATTCTTGCTCAGCATTACTTGGCGAGTCGATATGACCATGTCCGTCTGAGACGGTCAGTTGAGAGATTAGTTTAAAATCTATTAATTTAAAACTTTCATAATAGTCTTTTTATAAAATCAAAAAACTATTTGGTGGTCTTAGCTTTTTGTGTCCACGTAACCTCTTATGAGGTGACGAACTCGTCGAATCTCACATATGACGTCACGATAAAAATTCCAAATAAATGTAGTCGTCTCCTCTTATCGTGTCGATAATGTTTTTACAGTAATATTATTAAGAAGTCCCGTAATTTGTTCGTGTGGTAATTTTTTCTAAAGAGGTGGTGCACAAACTAGCAAACCTATTCAATTTATTTGTGACAGAGCGAAGATGAGTGAAAAATATAATCAGATGAATATATGCTCGTATAAATGAGATCTTAATCAACAGCTTTTGGTACTTGGCGTTATTTTTGTTTGCGCCGTTTGAGAGTGACACCGTTTTTGCTCAAAAATTACCTTGTAAATGCTGCATTTTTATTGTAGTTTAGTATTGATTTTAGTTGTTTCGTCAGTTGGAAAGGATGGTTCACTTTTACAGAAATATGCTCAGTAGATGTAAGCAACTTTCTGCTTTTACACTTTTAAAAAATATTGATTTTTGGGAAAGTTACATTAAAAATCATATCGTTCGTCACATTACCCTACACTCCCCTAATGTTCTCACATGACTTATACCACAAGCTTTATTAGAAATCCAACTTTTTTGCCGTAAACCGACATTATAAAAAATACATTATTTTAAGCACTCATACATATAGTTAGATATACAAATTCTAAATAAAAAACGACGTATTCCTATTAAGTAAAATCCAACTTTCCGAGGTTGTCAAACCTTTCGCACTTGAGATGATTAAAAAAAATAAATACTTTATTTTAAGGCATACAAATAATAATGATAAACGATCTCTCAGTGCAATTGCAACTGAAGAGCATTGAAAGCTAAGCTCGACCCTAGCGCGCTCTTCCAAAGAGAGTTTTTCAAGCCGCGGTCCGGTCTCTTCTCTTGCCGGCAACGCGATCGAGTATGTACATACATAGCTACATATATAATTATACATATCTGATCGACGATCCTCTCTCGCGCTGGCTCTCCCTCTCTTTTTCAATGACGGCGACGTCGACGGTTCGAAGCGCTTCTCATTCCAAAAACAACTGTGAACGTGAACGGTAACGGTACGTGCTCTCTTTTCCTGCCTCTGATATCTCTTTGCGAAAAGAATTCGACAACAGTTGAGGAACAAGACAGAAAATTAATACCACCAACAATAGTAAATTAAATAACAACAAGAATTCGTTAATATTTCGTTTTAATTTGTTACATACAAACATACAACTTTTAAAAGACATGTGCAATCGGCCAATACGTGTGTGAAAATATTGAGTTTAAATATTTTTTCTATTCTATTTCCCCGTAAAAATGTGTACTATTAAAAAAGTTGAACGTTTTTTCGTGTGCTTTTCGGTTTTATTTATTTTTCGATTTTTTTCGTGTTACTTATTTCTTTTCTTAATTTGACCCGATTTCAATTTGAAATTAAACAAGAGCCTAAAAAAATAAAACAAAATATGTGTGCACAAGAGTGCATATCTGTGAAAGGAAACAGGAAAATAGAGAATGAAATAAAGTGAAATAAAATAAAATAAAATACACACTACGAAAGCGTGTATTAATATACTGTATGTCTGTATGTGTACATACTATGTATATTGTGAAACGGTTGTTGTAGCTGCTATTGTTGTTGCCTTTACAGCAACAGGCGTCCGATAATTTATAATCTTAAAAATACATATGCCCTGTAAATATTCATTCTCCTATGTGCACTGAAAAACAAAGATCACTTGGCAATATCTATAGTTAGCATCAAAGCATTGAAGTGACTTAAATATTTTGGACTATTTTTGAGGGAATTCAATCAAAAGTAAACCATTGATAAATTTATATAATTATATTTATATATAAATAATTTAAAGCTGTGATCCTAAAAACACAACGTCACAGTGATAAAATCTTGTTCCCCTTTTAAAATTAAAGTTACAATAATAAATACCATTTTTTTTAATATGGCTAATTGAAATGTAATCTCCAGTTTTTTTCGGTGTACATAGGGTTTGTCAACGTAGGCAGTGCATTATTTCAAATACTAAATTTATATTACTTTATGTTTTTCTCCCCAACAGTTTCTTACCATTAGAACTATCTTAAATCGATTTTTTTGTAGTGATTTTTTGTATGTGTGAAAAAGTCTTCTTTGTGAATCAAAAACATATGATACTGTTAAACAAATAACACAAATGAAAACGGAGAAATATATAAAAACAGTGTATTGTTTAAGAGACAGACACAACACTAAACAAAGTGATAAATCAGCAGTGGAAAATGAAAGGTAACCAGCGACGGGAAAACTTTAAGCAATTGAATAAAATTTAGTCCCTTCATTTCAAATCGCTAGGTCCAGCCAACCGCACCAACAAAATATATAAAACATTCTAAAAAAAGAAAACCAACAACGTCACTAAATACCAATTTGTGGTGTTTAATATTTATTTATATGCTAATTTATTTTTATAATAAATTGGTATTAACCCACAAACCAACACGACAACATTAAAATCGGGTGAAAGATAATAAAGAAGCAACAAAAAGCAAGCACGCGCATCTTCTTTTGCCGTCTTTGTTTTGGGATATAAAACCGGAAATGTAAGTGGATTATGTGTTTTTTGTTTAAACTTTTAAGTGTGTTTTATAATTTTCTTCGCTTTTATTACTCTTTTTTCTGTGGAAACTAGTTTTTTAATTCAAATTCAATTGAAACGCAGACAGCGAGGTTTTTTTTAGGCCCCATGCGAATGCGGATTTTATTCACGAAACGCATATCTTTCGCATTTCTGGTCATCCTGTATTGCTTTATCTGCTGAGTTTCGGGATGTGTCATTTTCGTGGGCTTATCCACGGGGGATTCCCGAGTTCACGCCCGATGCTGACCTTCTGACTATAAGGATGTGGGAAAACTGATCATTCTGCGGGTGCGATAATTACTTTTGGTACATTAGTTCCATACTAGCATACGAAATCCCTTACCTTCTAAAAGGCTCTGTATGGTCTAAATGTGATTTTGAAGAAGTTATATTTTATTTTTATACCCTTGCAGAGGGTATTATGATTTCAGTCAACGCAGTGAAGGGGACGTTTCCGACCCTACAAAGTATATATATTATTGATCAGCATCACTAGACGAGTCGATCTAGCCATGTCCGTCTGTCCGTCCGTCTGTCCGTCCGTCTGTCCGTCCGTCTGTCCGTCCGTCTGTCCGTCCGTCTGTCCGTCCGTCTGTCCGTCCGTCTGTCCGTCCGTCTGTCCGTCCGTCTGTCCATCCGTCTGTCTGTTTCTACGCAAACTAGCCTCTCAGTTTTGAAGCTATCGGCTTGAAACTTTCCCAAAAGTCTTCTTTCTATTGCAGGTAGTATATAAGTCGGAACCGACCGGATCGGAAAACTATATCTTATAGCTCCCATAGGAAGGATCGAAAAAAAAAAATTCTAGCTTCGGTGTTTTTTAAAAAATTGCCTTCTACTCTTGGGAATATTACTTTTTAAATATTTCTATTATACAGTTATAAGTTATTTCACAGTAATTTTTAAGTAATATTAAAAAGGTAGTTGTGACTTAGTTTAAAACAATGAGTTTCCATACGATTTCAAGATTTTACCCCTACTTTAAATTTAACAAACGGACAAGAAAACGGCCCTCAAAGCAACTTTTTTTGTGTGTAGGTTTGTATATTTTGCAAACACATAGCACATAATTGAAATTCGTTGAAAGTCTAAGTCACAACACTACCCCATAAATCCTGTAAATTCCAACCATAGTAGGAAAGTTCCAATGATTCAATGAACCATTTTCGAATTTAAAGCGGTGTCTTATCAGTTTTTGCACTTACACATTTTTCAAACAATAAGAGCTTACACTTATACTCGTAGTTTATGGAAATGAGCGCTATCGCTCTGTGGGAATGGTAATAATGATGATAATGGCGATGATGATGTCACTCGGTGACCCTATGGCAAAGTGATCACTTCCGCTGACTATAAAATGAATTTGTTGGTTTAAAATGAAAAACTAAAAGCAAAGGCGAAACGAATTTTAGATTCAAACGAGTCCCGCATGAAAGTGTTACCACGTTAATTGCATTTAACCGACTGTCCAAAAAATAAACATTGGGAAGGGTGGCTAAGTACTCGAGTGGCTTAAAATTGTTGACATCCGAGTCGAGAATAGAACACTGAGAAAAACTTTCCATACGTATGTATCCATTTTAATTATATCATATGATTTCATTGTGCTATTTATGATACGCTTTTATAATTTTAATATATTCCTCTTAGTCTACACAATAAAAATAATAAATAATAATTCAAATTTTATTTATTTAAATATTTATTGGGATTGGAACAAATACAAAAAAAGATTCCACATATCTAAAATATTTCGTTTATTCATTTTTTAATTGATGTAGTCAATATATAAACTAGATATATATAATAATAACAAAAATGTGTAAAAGTAAAAAAAAACGAATTATAAATTTTTTCGGTGCAGAATAAAATGCTTGCGAAACGCTCCCAAAGTCATTATCAGCATTAGAAAGTGTTACAGACAGCACGAAAATCAAACCCCGGGGATGGAGATAGTACTATATAGCTGTAAACAGTTGAGGGGGATCTGTGCGGGCCAGACTGCCAGACTTTCCCCACTTCCCGATTTCAATTTAAATACACCCGCGCCCTCAGAGAACGTGAAATGAAATCAGTAACCGAAAAAATCGAATCTATCACGAAATTATTTTCGAGGCTCTTTAAGTCACTTGTGCCCATGGCTAAACATATAGCCGTGGTAAAATTGATTCAGCTGCATCGCGGCAAATAGCATCGGATGGGCGATCCGTAGGGCAGTACGTGCCTGAGGGCCCAAAACCGAAAACCAAATACCAAAGCCGATATCCGACCTCCACTTACACTCAAACTTGGTGAATGTTTGTTCTGGAATTTTCTATTTCCCTAGGTGCAGATCATGAATACTTTGTTCTCGAATGGATTCCAAGAAGCCGGCTAATATTAGAGGGCAAGTGAAAAGTATGTGGGGACCAGCAAGTTTAGAAAAAGTTTTTAACGAAAAGAACCCAAATATAAGGTGTTAATGTTTTCTAATATAAGGATCTAAACATTTAGAAAATTGAGTTCAACTAAACGCCCAGTGCAAAAATACGGTAGAATTAATATCGATGTGCGTAGGAATTTTGTCGGAATTCAGCGGTAAGCTTTGAATTCTTGGGTGTTCTTCTCAATATTTTCTTGAATTGTACTCTTTGAAATATTACATGAACAGTTGTATAAACATATCCGTTATTTTACTTCAGCGCTGGTGAAATATATATTTACCATCTTCATACATGCTTTTAAGTACATACATATATGGTTTCAGGTCCAGAAGCCATGCAATTGCATTCAGAATTTCCTATCGCGAGCATATCACATTTTCCCATTCATGGTATTCATTAATTTATTCACCTGTTGAGCACGTTTGGTCGCAAATGTTAATAATGTAATACATATTCGCCGTTAGAGCGAAGTCTCCACCCGCCTAAACCCCCCATTTAGCCCGCTTTCGACCCCCACCCTTTCCGACTTTGAGCCCCATGTGCAGCGTAGCGTTTCCCTCTTTCTCTGTCCCCTGCTCTCCCGCATGGTTATTTAACCATGAAGGCGGATGAATTTGGGATTCAGGGGCACACGGTGGGGATTTTTGTACAGGGGGCTTGTATGAGGAGTACGTTCGCTGAGTCATCGCCAAGTCAAAAGCGTAGCACGCACCGCGCTCGCCTAAAATCAGCCAAGCGTCAAAGTGTCGACGAACAGGTGCCTTAGCTCCAGGGCTGGATAAAAATTGGGCCGAGCGAGGGATGGAGGGGCGATTCAGGGGCTGTGGCGAAATGAGGGCGGCTCCTACTGAGGCAGCATCAGTTACGAACTTTGGGCTACCACTGAGGCAGAGAGAAAAATGATTAGCTACTAATAAAATAAATCGTTTTCCAAAAGATTTAGTCAATAAAATATTATTTCCTTTTTCCTATATTTTTCACAGCTACATTTATTTTTTGATTATTGTTCAGTTATTGTTCAGGAGACCATTTTTTCCGCAAAAATGTTTATAGAGGGGACCGAAAAAATTTATATTTTTTTTTAGTAAAAAATAAAAGTTACAATTTAATGATTATTTGTAAACGAAAAAACATCGCTCAGAAATAATGAAATAACGCCCACAATCGCCCACTATCGATTTTAAAATGTGCCTGGCGCCCACATTTTTAAAGATTTCCGAGAAGTATAAATGCAATTTTGTTGTAAATATGCCTATCGAAATGTAGAAGACATTTTTCAAATCAGACCATTCATTAAAAAGTTATGCACAATCAAATAAATTTTAAATATCCATCTCCCTCGCACTCCCTTTAGCTGAGTGACGGGTATTAGATAGTTGGGACACGAACCCGACTATAGCGTTCTCTCTTGTTTAATGATTGAAACGTACGTTGTGCATACAAACATTCTTAAATCGACAGCGGGCCTTTGTGACTCTTTCAAATTAAAAGGAAAAGGTTTGTGTTATCTTTGTCAATTTTAGGTAAACTTCAACTTCTAACCGTTTTTTAAATGACAAAATTACAATTAATACTAAACTCAAACATTAATTTAAGTTCGTTTTGTAAGTCATTGACTAAATGTCCGAGGATAAAGGAATAAGTGTTTCAACCCGTTTCCCTACCTAATAATGGTTTCGATCACACTGAATACAAAATTCTAAATATCGTGCGAATTTTTTTACGTGTATGGTGCATGTTGCTGCTGGTGATGTTGTGTTGCCGCTGCTATTTGTGCTGGCGTTGTTGACGGCGGCAAGCGGAAGTAGAATACGCTTTGGGGGCAGCGTCTAATCGCCGCTGCTCCATCGGAATTGTAGCGACTATACCTTCATATGTATATGGACTCTATATGGATATAGACGCAGGTGCACTGCACCAGCAATGTGTTGCCTTTGCTGCTATTACAATACGCTCTTTTATTGTTCTTGTCCGTAGACACCGCTCGTAATTTCCATTACTCGCCACGGCCGTTCTTCTTTCTTTATGACGCTGATGATGACGACTCTTTCTTCCGCTTCTCGAAATACATAAGTCCGCTTCAGTTCCAGCTGAATGCGTCTCTTCCACTTCCGCTTACAATTCTTTTTTATTAGACTTTATTACACATTTTATATTCCGCTTTCATTTCTATTTTCATTGCGCTCTTTCTCTGCTTTGTTTTTGGCTAAATGATTTAATCATTCTCCGTGTGTAGAAAGAGCCGCAATGTGGTAAGCTATAATAAGGGTAAAAGAGGGCCAAAGGCATACAAATAGACGAAAATACCGAAAAATAAGCACTGTCAACCGCAAATGTGACAAGCACTTAATTTTCCCGTGAAGAGAACGTTAGCCTGGTCATTAAAGGACTTTTTTTCCCCAACTAGCCGAAGAAAACGTTTGCAAATTTATTGGACAAGCTTTTAAAATGTATTACAAATATAACACTATGTTTTTATACCCGTTACTCGTAGAGTAAAAGGGTATATTTAGGGTATTCACCAGTCCTGGCAGGTGTCGCA